AAAAACATCTGGTATGTTAGCGGTGGTATTCCACCATTCGTACTAATAACGGTGCGCGGGTCCCATAGCGTATGTGAGACCTTTTCCACAGCCTCAATGCCTAGTTCGCTGCACAAGGCGCGCACCGAGTCATCACGCCGATTCCAAATTGGTTCACAATCTTGTTCGAAACAGATCTTATTCAGCTGATAGTGCTCATTCAAGCGTCGAAAAATAGCCGTAGGGTTGCCTTGAAACAGATACAGTTTACCCAAATCGCCACCAGTGTCGCCTAGGGCCTGTAGTTGACTATTTATGTCGGCCAAAGAGTTTAATAAGAAACGCATGCGATTGTAGCCAACCGTTTTAGTGCCTGGAAAAGGATGAAAATATAGTTCTCTGTAGTATTTTAATCGAATTTGCCCCATGGAGCGTCTCTCAAAAACAATACGTAGGGTACACTAGGTCCGCTGAGTATGCAGTTACATTTGCTTGGCTATAATTCGTCCTGCACACTAGGCATTTCGGGAGCAACCCATAAGTGAGATGCGTTAACCAAGGCGTGTGGAACTTTGGCTCGCGATAGAGTGAGAGATCTTTGGTGTGACCACTTCGACTTATTCAGTTTAAGGGATCACTGAAGTTTGCAGCGGCTGCCTTGTAGGAGCACGCGGCTCTCGTTATAAATGCAATGCATATGTTGTATGAGTCCAGTATCTGGTTTGGGACCCACCACGTCGTGAAACAAACTGCCTATGAAAACGAAAATAAAGTCACATATGTATGTGATCCTCTTCCATTGACAATTGCGGAAAAGGTTTAAAGAATAATGCTTTAAAGGTACATATACAACTGAAATGTCTGATACCCTTGGAAAGACTATGTGGAGACATCATCGCCATCCAAGAGATGTGATCAAGTGACAAGTCAAGAAAAACTTGGGGTTGTTCAAACTATATGCCTGATTTGTGGTAGCAGAGAGATTACGTCATTGAAAAATTTTGTTTAGCCTGCTGAACGAGTTGCTCGCCACAAATTCGTGTAGGAACAAGAACGATGATGTAGTGACCGATGCCCAGAAAGTGCTTAAATTACGGGAAAGATGAACCCCAGTCGAGGACGATGAAGTTTACTGCGAACTGTCAATTTCATATAATACGGAACAGTTATCGCAGAGAGAGAATTTTGAAAGGTGGGCATCAGAGATAAGTTGCGGTGTATCGCATTTTACACCGCAACGACATTTATTTACCGTACCACTCAAACTCAATAATACTTAGTGACGAAGTCTACCGCCACCCGCAATCACCGCAAGCTCAAATAATGTCGAGGTTTGAGTGTTTTGTGCTCGATCAAAGCGTCGTTACTGCCAAAAGTTTTAAGAACTGTCACAGCAGACGATAAGCAAAAAAGCTATCGACACATTTACAGCATGGATCGTTGAAGATTGCCGCCCATTTTCAGTTATTAATGGGTCAGGCTTC